TACTGCCAGACAGAATGTAGGTAGTGGTTCACTAAAAGTTGCCGGATTTGTAGGGATCTTATCTGAAAACCACAAGATAAGGTCTCATTATGAATGATGAACCATTTCATTATCTGTAAGACATTTTATAAATGAGTGATAACCTTAATATTTTATAAGTCTGTCTCTTTTGGACAATAATGATACTTTACAATGTAAGATGTTTCAGATAATCATGTAAGGTAAAAGAGGTTCTTTAAATAATTTAAATGCACTCCTCATTAAAAACAAAGATATTCCTAGTTCTTGCTCGGATGACTTTTACTTAGATTTTATTCTAATGAGATCTGATCTATATCTGTAAAACATAGGTTGTGATCCTTAGGACAGGCATAATGCAGGCAAAGACTTTCAGTGTTGTGTTCAAATCACATCAGTGAGCTGAAGATGAACCCTGAAGATATGTGCAAAGAAGTTCAAATGTGGCTGCTGATGTCATTTAGAAAGAAATTAAAGAACTTCCCTCTTTTGGCTGTTTCCCTTTATTCTTACATCTTTGGTTATCTGTTCCAAAGGAATTTGATAGCCTCCTTTTGTACAAGTTTCTGCATGTTTCTTTTTTCAATCTATAATAAAACAATATATTTCAATTAATGATGTAAATAAATCAGACTGTTCTAACCTGTATTTTTTTTTTTAGGTCCAGACCCGTGATTTCATTGGCATAAGGAACTCCTACCAAAGTGCATCAGCATCTGTTCTGCAATTTATAGTCTTGGAGAGGTCGAATTGCTGGAAGGGCTAAGAGGTAGGTGACTTGCCCAGAATCACATAGCTAGTATATATCATGACTCAAATGTGAATCCACATCTTTCTGACTTCAAAGCCAGCTCTGTCTCCACTAGGGGGTATGTTGCTCCCTGTATTCAATGCTACTATTTATTGCAAAATGAATTTGCTCAAGTCTAATAATTTTGCTTTTCCATTTTATAATACGATTACTTAAAGAATAAATGTTAAATGAAACTTCAGTAACAAAATAAACTGAGATGTTTGAATCAATAGCAGCCACCTGGATAAACACTACAGGCTAAAATCTATTTTTATATAGGAATGGCAATGTCAACAGGAATGTCAGTCATAGAACCACAGAACAAGGTTTAAGATGGCTCTTTGTATTTTTGGAAAGTAGACTGTAAGGGATACAATCAATTATATATTTCTCTGATATTTTCAGGCTCAGGTGGATTCTGTGCATCCTATTTTCAAAACTGAAAAAAGTGATAATGTATATAACTCATCCTCTTAAGTTTAATAAAAAAAACACAAACTATGCATTTTCTCAGTTGAGAATTAAATAAAGTTAATGGTCAACAAATAATGGAAATGTAACACAAATTATAATTTCACCTGCCCATATCCAGTTAATTTTCATGTATTTCACTGTTATATTAATATGGGAAACACATGATTTTACAACATGCTAGATGGATAGAAATGAAAGTTGATAATTTTAAATAAATTCTTTCATTACTCTTCAACTTAGCTTGTAAAAAAATGCTACTATTTGATAAAGTGAATTTATATCTTGGGCCATAGAACTTAATAAAGGTTGACTCCAAACTAATTTCTAGCTATATTTAGCATCTAGAAAAGTCTAACATTTTGCCATTTTTGGATATCCTTTCCACATTATCTGACTCTGTTACTTAATAGTTCTCTTTAAATTTTTTTATTCCCTTTATTTCTACCCAGATTATTTCTTTCAGTTATTTACTCATTTCCTAATTTTCCACATCTGAAAACAAATAGAAGCTCCCTAAAAGGCCTATGGAGAACTTTCTATCATCCAAGATGTACAGTGTCCTGAATTATGGCTATAAGGATTCAGTTCCCAAACTAATGGAAAGACATGAGGCAAGACTTCTGATCTACCTCTGTATTTCATCAGTTAAGCAGACAATGTGCTCTTGCATTCTACTCAGCAGAATTTCAAATTGTGCTTCTTTAGCATGAGGGATAAGATTTCTTGTAAAGAATCCCCTCCAGCAGGCTTGAAGTTTGGTGGCTGCTTCATTCATTTTCTGAAGAGAACTCTCTTGGTCCAAAGCCATAGCTAGCTCAGATAAAATTCTGCAGGAGGATTTTTCTGAAATGGTTTGTAGATATCATTTCATTATTACTCATTTCTGTATTGGACATACTATATCCTTCTGTTTTTAAAGAGGAAGTATCATAGTAGTAGCTAATGCTATTTTTTGAACCATAACTAGATATTGTTAGGTCAGGCAAGACAATACTCTTTATTTTCTTCTGGATTGACCTTACTTTTCTGTGCTTCAACTGAAGTCTCTTCTGCAGGCCATAAAGTCTCTTGTTCATCATTATCCACAGCATGTCTTTTCTCTTCATTCACAAATTCAATCATAGCACCATCATCAAGTCAACACCATATGGTATCAGTTCAATGGTAGGAGATACTGGAGAAAGCCCTGAGACAATGGGCATAAAAATAAACTCTGCGGATAGAAGACTACAGTTCAGTTTATCTTCATCTGTCTGTTTATCTTCCAAGAATAACTCATCATAAGACTACTTTTCAGTTGGTACCGAGCCAAGAAAGTATTCTTAACAATATATGAATGATAAGTATTGATGCTTTCTCAAACCCAATAATTTATTTGAATGTCAGGTGCTAGAAAACAGAAGGTTCCACTAATCATTTATCTATCTATGCTGTCTTAAATCAAACTACCTGAAAATCAGTAGAAGGCAATGAACTGTCAAAATCATCTCCTTTAATATTCCACATAAGCCAATATATCACAGTTTAAAAACCATACCAATGGATAGTTTATAATAATTACAGCACTGGTCACAACATATGACTCTGAGGTATGTAATCTTGATTTCTGGTTCAGAAAAAAGGTTGATGCACTGCAGATACTTCATTTATAAAAGGAACCATCATTATATGTATCCCTCTCTCCATCTAAACAGGGGGGATTCTGTTAACTTGAGAAAAAAAAACAAAAAGAGCGACATGCATAAAAACAAATAGAGGTAATCAGCAAGACTGATTTTTTATTTATAGTATGTAGAATCATCCACTAGCTTTAGGGTCATATCCTTATGTATTGCATTTGACCTTTTAATGCATAATCCATCTAACCATTAAAATAAAATCACAGTAGTAGATTGAGATCTTACCACTCTCAACAAGTATATGAGGCTCTTGAGTTGAACTTAAGTTCTCAGGTTCAAGAAGTGACCCTAACTTTCTTGGTCTGGAGAAAGCGAAGACTTCTTCTTTTGAATTTTGGCACATCAACTGCCTCTGGTGGAACCTAAAATCCAATAATATCTGGATGTTGGTAGGTAGACATCCCTAAATTTTTTGCTAGCATCCCCCTCACCCTTTCAAAGCTCTGATAACTGATCTTAATGAAGCAAATAAAAGATGTCAGAGAAATAATTCATAAGAATGTACTTGTATACACATACATATTTAAGAAATTTTGTCCTGGAATACCTTGATCAATGAAACCAAAAGTAAACACTTATAAATATAGTATTTTGAGTATGCCTACATAATATATATATGTACATTATATATATATATACACATATATATATATATACACACACACATACACACACATATGTCTATACTTAGCAGATACTTTATATTTGTATGTAATATTTAATCTAACTCCACTATATTGTAAAAATTGCCTGCTTGGCTTTCCTTCCCATAAAAAAAGGGGGGGAGGGAACAGGATCCCATGGTTGCAAGAGGCGAAAATGAGAAGCTGCAGTTGTTCTGCATTGATTCTGCTCCTCCAAAGGGTTTCAAAAGAAAAACAGCTCTCAGCTCCTCTAAGTTCCTGAAAGCCTAGCAGAATTCCTTTTGGGATATATAATTTGCATATGAATTTTAATGATTACATTCTTTCTTAAGAAGAAAGGATACCTCAATTAAACGTATTCTTTGAAAATCCACCAGTTACTAATTTGGGCTCCCCTTTGCTTGCTCAGTGTCTTCTTCAGCCTAACATCTTCTGTGATTTGAAGGTCCACTGTAGAGGAAGGAGGGCAAGCAGTAGCCAAATACTGGATTAATTGAATAAGTTGGCCAGGCTGATATAAATGTCCTTTGCCTTCACTATAAAGCCATTTACCTTTTAAACTGAAGACATAATAATTAACCTTAAACAGCATCAATGGAGGAAAATATTATTGCTACCATTCTCTACCAGTTTCTCTTCCATTAATCAATCAATGAGCATTTATTAAGTACCTGCTTTCTAGGCACTGTGCTAGATATTGTGAGAATCATTTTCTTTGATAAGTTAGTCTTGATTATGGTTAGTTTGTTTTTAGCCGAAAAGATAAGAATGAATTTAGATAACTTTAGAATAAGATGTATAATCATTATGAAACTAGTTATACAATCAGTAGATTTATGTTAAATATTAAGTTCCTCATTTCTACAGTACTCAGCTTTTGCAAAACCAGCTCAACACAGTGCCTTCCTTGTTTCCCAAGTAAGCATTTGCCTTTTGTGTTCAGCTAAGTTAACACTCTAGACCACATTTAGTACAGTACCAGAACATTTCAGTTACAGCAGTATTTACTTGATGGACGGGCTGATTAAGGTAGTATTGTGACTGATTAGATGGATAGCCTGGGGACTGTCCCTACCTCCAAAATGCTCCATTACACTCCCAACATGCCCATACCTGAAATGTTGGCAATAGTGCCAAGCTATACTTAGCATGTTCCAGAATATACCTAACCTAACCACAAGTCAAGCGACCTGTCTCATTCAATCAAAATATGTTCAAAACAAGTTTCTCATGAATCTGGAATTCTCCAGTTCCTCTTTTACTACTATAAAAAGAAGCTCTGGAACTCCTCTGTTTGTCTCTGACTACTGAGGGTTTCACTGACTCCAATTATTGGCTGTGCTCAGCCAATTGATTGTGCTCAGACCTTTGCACCTTAGTCTCTATTCCAGATTTTACTTTTACAACACCAAGAGAAAAACAAAACACTACCTGTTCTTACCACTGCAGTATAGAATTAGAAGAGGCAAATATCCAGAACAAGAGGTAAGTCTATCTTGGGAGGCTTTGCTCTTTTTGGTGTTTTGTTCACTGGAGCAAATGTTAATTGGAAGGGGGACCAAGCACTTATTAAATGCTTACTAAGTGCCAAGGACTGTATTGAGAGCTTTATAAATATTATCTCACTTGAGCTTTACAACAGATAAGGTGCTATCATGATCCCCATTTACAGCTGAGGAAACTGAGGTAGATAGAAGTTATGTGACTGATGCATAGTCATACAGATAGCGAGATAGGCCTGATTTGAACTCAGGTCCTCCTGACTCCAGGCTCAGCATTCTACCCATAGTACCACCTGGCTTCCTAATAAGTTCATCATCAGCAATGAGTTTGCTATAGGTAGTTAAAATTTAAGAATTTAGTCTAAGATAATTTTTTACAAGATATATTCTATGAACTAAATAGGTTAATAGGATTTAGAGATGGAAGAGACCTTATGGAGCCCCTAAGAGGGGAAGTGTGATGAAGTTAGGAACTTGTCTGGTGATATCAGTAGTACAGGGAACTCCCAACAAAACAAAAAGGTGCATACAGGCACCTTCTCTGCAAGTTACAGACTTAGAGATGCCTACAGTACCAAGAGGCTGAGTGACTTCTCCAAGGACACACAGTTAGTATATGGCAGAGATAGAACTTGAACCCAGGTTTTCTTGGTCTTGAATTGGACTCTCTGTCCATGACATTAAAGTGCTCTTTTATGAAGGAAGGTGAGGAAATCTCCACTGCAGGTGGTATGTGAGAAAAATCCCAATTAGATATTAACTGTTTCAGTACATGACAAGATTTGGAGTAAGCACTGAATAACACTATCATACAACAAAAAAGTGTTGTCTCTGTGTCATTTTAGTTAAATCAACTCAACAGACATTTATTATGTGCTAGGCACTGTATTAAGTGCTGGAGACACAAAGTATGGCCAAGACAGCGCCTCCTCTAAAGGAGCTCATAATCTAATGAAGAGGACAATATGTAAACAGCTATATTTACATAATAAACTGAAGATGATCACAGAGGGAAGGTACTGTTAAGTGGAACCAAGTAAGACTTCTTAAAGACTCAGTTTTAATAAATTTACCACTTTCTAATGAATAGAGGCTGAGATGATATATCAACTTAGTATTGGGTCATATCACCGGTAAACATAACTTTTCAGATGAATCATACATTCAGCTTCTAGGCATTTAAGAACAAACAGCTTTTTCACTAATGCTTTATTACCTTGTGGAATAAACCAAAAAAGGCATAACTGCAAATTGTTAGGATATGGTATTTTAGGTGTTAATGTCATATTTCAAGTTAAGAATGGTTTTAATACTCATTTGTAGTTATTACACAGAAAATCATGGAGTAAAGAGGTCATACTCACCTTTATTTTTAAGAAATCATATATCCATCTAGGGCTTTGAGATTTAGGCACCAACTAACAACATATGGTCGCTAATTAAATCCTGGAACAGATGGCACAGTCATTACACAAAGATTGTTCATTATTGATAACTCTTCTATCCCAGAAAGGGATGACAAGAAAGAGATCAGTAATAAAAGATCTGTCTGTTGAACTAAAAAGACTCAGTGTCACACAATGGGTTTCAAGGTTTAATTATCTTCAGCATGTATGAGTGCAACAATTTCTCCCTGGTTCTGAAAATCAGCTCCTCTTCCATCTACCAAATTTAAACCAAAACAATATGATCATATGTCTACTCTACTTTGGATGAATCCTTGGAAAGTATTATCTCCCTTCCCCTTTCCTGTCAGAAGGGACGAATAAAGTTTAAAAAAATTTGTCTGGAAACCTAAGGATAAGTGGTTTATTCCTTTTAACTTCTCTTACCCATTCAGAAGCCAGATCTTACTTTAAAACAAAAAATAGTTTACCTTGAGATGATTTCCTGCCAAACTGAGCCATTCCAAGTAAACTGGCTTCTTTAGCCCCTCCACACAACCAATGCTGTTAAGAGGAAAATTTACCCCGATTGCTGAGTCAAGCTTGGCCACACCCATCATTCAAACTAACTGGTCGTTAGTTACTGATAACTAATGTTATTTTCAATGGCAAAATACTGAAATCACATATTTTTAAAAGAAACAAGGATTATATCAAGAATAATGTTAAAATGGTGCACCTATCTTTAAAATGAAACATACAAAATGATCATACCAGCATGGCCACTCATATCACATTGCCTTTCATTCTGTTTGTCTATTATTTATGTGTTGGTACATGAATTTTAATTTTATAGTCACACACTATATATTGTTCTGAATCTGCTTTCTTCTTTAAAAGTCTTTTTAAACTTTTCTAAATTTCTATTTTTATCATTTTAGTGGCATCAAAGGATTTGAACAAACAGTTCTCAAAAGAAACACTGCAAATTAATATAAATTATATGAAAACTCATTCAAAATTACCAATAAGGCAAATACAGATCAAAATAACTATGAGATTCTAAGTCTTTCTTACATTGACATGCAAGTTTGTTGAGCTATTCCTCAACTTTTGGACATTTAGGCTATTTTCTTTGTGATTATAAATAATACACACTTTCTATATAGCTATGTATATATATGTGTGCATATATGCATAATACTGCAAAATATGCCTTTTGATAGGTAAAACTTTTCATATGTATTCTCCACAATGAGATTTTAAATTAAAAATATATGATGATTTTTGTGATTCTTGCTGCTGATTGCCAATGTGCTCTCAAGGATTGTAGCAATTTGTAATTCCACCAGCAATATATAAGTGTACCAATTTTTCCATATGCCAATCCAAACTGTTTTTATTATTTTTAATAATTCTTGTCAATCTGAGCAATATAAAATGGTACCAAAACATGTTTTCAATTATTAGTGAGGTTGAACTCAACTCTCATTTTACAGTCCAAATATAGTACTTCTTTTCTTTTTTGTTGTTGTCCTTTTTCCCTTGTATCATTCATTTGGTTTTAATCTTCCTCTTCCCTCTCCCTACTTGATCCCTAACTGAATCCTTCCTCAAAGTCTATACAGTTATTCCTTCTGCATTGCAACTTTCCCCATCATAGTTTTGATCTATGGTGTCTGCATAAGAAATTAAATGAGAATTTTTTGGGAGTTTTGTGGAAGCTACAGATGAGCAAAGGCTAGCAGATGACACAGAGTCTATGACCAAATACTTAACACAAATTTTATAATAAATACTGTAAACATCCCATAAAAGGAAAAGAAAAAAGTCAGAGTTCTTCTCTGGTACAAAGGGAAGCCAAAAGATAATAGGTACGCCACACCCCTAAACCTGTGATGTGGAAAGGATGACTGTATTGCATTCCACATCCTTAGGACCCAACCTTTCTCTTAAAAGGAAGGCAAGTACATTTCATCATCTGCTTGACAAGGCCATGATTAGTTACTAACAGTTACTCAGAGTTCAGGTTCCTTTCATTTCCTTTTTGTTCAAATTATCGTAGTTGTCATTGTGTCTTTGCTTTGTATCACTTCATACAATTTGTTCTAATATTTCTCTGATTTCCTCTGATTAATTCTTTTACAATAATAGTATATGATATTCATATAGGGAGGAACCAGTTATTTCATTGCTATATAGAATTCTTAAGTAAGGAAACACTTTATGCCAATGCAGGTCAGCAACTTTTCTGAAAATTATGGTCTTGCCCTAGATAGTCATCTTGAGCACTGAGAGATTAAGTGACTTGCTTGGGGAAATAGCCAGAATGTTTCAGAAGTGGGACTCGGACCCAGGTTTTCCCAACTTCAAGACTCACTCTCTATCCACTACATCATGCTGCTTCTCAATACATTCATATACCACAGTTGTTGTTTTTTGTCATTCTCAAATTGATGAATATCCATTTTGTTTCCATTTTTACTACCACAAAATGTTACTGTGAATGTTTTGTTACAAATAGGTTGGTTGTTGTCCTTCGTTCTTGAAGAGGACCAGAATGACATCACTGTGCTAGAATTAAATTTCTGTGGGTCCGACTGTGGCTGATCAGACCAGTATGAGCTTGTAGTGTTCTACCACAGGTTGGGCACAAATAGTCCATGTGAACATTTGGAGTAGATTCTTTAAATTTGTGCATCTTGCATTTCTTTTCAGCTATTTCAATTCTGCTTTGCTCTTAGAGCACAATATCTTGTCAGATGTGGGCACTCTATGCTGAGTGGTCCTGTGCCAGTGTCTCCCAAGTCACACAATCAATTCCAAAGTTCTTAAGAGAGGCCTTGAGAGGGTCCTTGTATCATTCTTCTGACCATTATGTGAAAACTTGCACTATGTGAGTTCTCCATAAAATAGTCTTTTTGGGAAGCGTAGGTTTTGTATTCGAACAATGGGGCCAGCCCATCAGAGCTGTGCTCTCTAAAGCAGAGTTTGAATGCCTGGCAATTTAGTTCGATAATGTCTAGTATCTTATCCTGCCAGGTGATCTGCAGAATCTTCTTGAGACAATTAAGGGGCAGCTAGGTAGCACAGTGGACAGAGCACCGGCCCTGAAGGCAGGAGAACCTGAGTTCAAATTTGGCCTCAGACCAAACACTTGACACTTACTAGCTGTGTGACCCTAGGCAAGTCACTTAACCCCAATTGCCTAAAAAAAAAAAATTCAAATGGAAGCAATTCAGTTTCCTGGCATGGTACTGGTATACTGTCCAGGTTTCACAGGCATACAACAATGAGGTTAACACAACAGCTCTGTAGACCTTCAGTTTGGTAGTCAGTCTAATACTTCTCTCCCACACTTTCCTTTGGAGCCTCTCAAACACTGAGCTAGCCCTGGCAATACATGCATCAACCTCATTATCAGTGTGTACATCTCCACTACCAAGGTAAATGAACTTATCCATAGCATTCAAAACTTCTCCATTTGTTACAACCGATGGTTCCACGTATGGATGGTGTAGTGGTGACTGATGGAGCACCTGTGTTTTCTTGGTGTTAATTGTTAAGCTAAAATTAGTACAAGCAGCAAAGAATCAAT